GCGCTTCGCAGTTCGCGGGGCCTTTCCCCTCGCGGGGCGGGTGCTTTTCACTTGCGGGTGCTTCTCAGTCTCTGCGGGCGACGCCCGGGACTTCTTCCGCCGTCTGCAGTGGCAAGACGCCCGGGCACAAGAGACCATTCTTGGCTTCGACCTCAGGGCCAACGAGCTGCTGGATCACGGGGTCTTCTACGAGGTGGATTACTTCCGCGGGCGAGGCCGCGATGCGGTCGCGCGGGCCCTAGCCGTTCCCGCCGCGGGGGGCGGCCCGGATCGCGCGTCAGCAACAGCATTGCCCGCGTTCCGCAGAATGTCTCCGCGACGGGGGTTGGCGCGCCAATGGTCGGGCGCCTCCTCGGATCGAGTCGTTGAAGGCGCCCACTCCGACGACCGCGTGGTCGTTGGGCTTCGCGACGGCCGCGGCGCCCCCGGTCCGATCCGACAGGCAGCTTTCCAGCGTGTCCCTCGAGGGCGCCAGGCGTGCGATCGGGCGGGCATCATGGGGGGCGAGGAGAAGGCAAGCCCGGGTTTGCCGCGGGCATTTGTCTGGGGGGTCGAGAAGTAGCTCGGCGTGATCGTCGCGTGCGTCGTTCTCGTCGGTGCCGCATCGGTCGCTCTTATGTGGAGGCTTGTTGGGTGCTGGGTTCGCCGATGTTCCGCCGGGGCTCCATGCGCCGGGTGGGCGCACCCTTCGCGCGGCTTCGCGTGCCCGGGGTCGACCCGCAGCGCGGCCGCAGCGTGGCGACGGCTGCCGAACGCGGTGCTGGACGATCTGTTTGGACGCAAGCGGGCACAGGGGCCGCGGCATCGCCCCGTGGACATTATCGGCAACGAGCGCTCGGGGGCCAGGCTGGATCTCGCGAAGGCTCTCGACCGCGCAGGCGCCCTGTGGGCGCTGTGGCAGCCTCGGCAATCTCTTCGGCGGGGTCTCCCAGAGCTTCAAGAGGCCGTTGGCGCGGGTTCAGCGAGTGCGCCACGGGTCATGGACCGGCGCGCGTGGAGCAGGCGGTGAAGGAAGACTGCCGCCCAGAGCGGGCCGTGGACGTTCCCGCCCTTGCTGGCGAGGCGATGCGACCGCCGCCGCCGGCACCTCGTCCTGGAGGGCAGCATGCTGGGCGACGGCGGCGCCCGGCGGCGCCTGGCGGAAGCGGCAACAAGGCGCCCCGTCGAGTGTGCGCGGCGGTGGCCAAGCACCTCGACATGTGCTCGGGGGCCAGGCTGGATCTCGCGAAGACTTTCGACCGCGCAGACGCCTTGTGGGCGCGGGAGCAGCCTCGGCAATCTCTCCAGCGGGCTCTCCCAGAGCCCCAAGAGGCCCTCGGCGCGGGCTCAGCGAGCGCGTCATGGGTTGGCGCGCGCGGGGCTGGCGGTGGAGAAGACCGCCGCCCTGAAGGGGCCGTGGGCGTTCCTGCCCTTACTTGCGAGGCGACGCCACCGCCGCCATCGGCACCTCTTCCTGGAGGGCAGCGCAAAGGGCGACGACGGCGTCTGGTGGCGGCGCCTGGCGGAGGTGGCAGCAAGGCGCTCCAGCAAGTGGTGCGAGGCGGTGGCCAAGCACCTCGACATGTGCTGCCGCTCGCCGCGCTGCTGATGTTCCTGGGTGTCTTCTGCAGCGTGCTGGGGTTTCCAGGAGAGGGCCCCCCGCGCGCGAGGGCGCGCTCTCGCGGCGAGCTGTCTCGCGGGCCGGACGGGGCCTCCGAGTGACGGTCGTGCCGTCCACTGCCCGTCGGTGCGTCGTCATGCTCGACAAGTGGAGCCTGCGGCTTCAAGGTCGAGGCCTGCCCCGCCCCGTCGACGTCGCGCTTGATATCGGGCTGCTCAACGCCACCCCCGTTACCTACACTCCGATGCAAAGGCGCCATGTTGTTCGGGATTCGAGACCATTGTGGTCGTCCGGTTTCGCCGGCCCCAGACCCGCGGCCAATTGCGCCCGGCGTGGGCCGCGGTGGTTCGCTCGCGCAACTTCGAGCTGGTCGATGCGCGCGCCCATGCCTGTCGACGTGCTCCTGGCCCTGGCCGTGTGGCTGCTCAGGCGCGTGGATGGGGCGGGGCGGCAGCGCGCCTGCTCCTCGCCTTCCACTCTCGCTGCTGCATCCCAGCGAGATTGCGAACGCCCTCAGGCAGCATCTCGTCGTGCCTGGGGACATGGGAGGCGATCTCAGCACAGGTGTGCTCGCGCTGCTCTCTGCTAAAATATCGGACCGAGGTTCAATTTCCCAGTGCGTCCTGATCGACGATACTGCGCTGCTGAACTTGACGGGGCGCGTCTTTGACCCCCCCGTCCCCGGCATCGGCGTTGCGCTCAGGACAGCTGCTCCGTTTGACCCAGAGGCTCATCTACATCGCGAGCCGCTCGGCACGAGCGACTCGCAGCGCTGCGAGGGGGCGGGGCCATCCATCACTTCCGCTCGTTTCAGAGGCTGGCGCTGCTGCAACACCGCGGGCGCCCTGCGGGCGCGAGGGGCAATCTTCCTCAGTGGGCTCTCCCGGAGGTCCAAGAGGCCCTCGGGGCGGGCCCTTTCGGCGAGTGCGCCATGGACTGGCGCGAGCGGGGCAGGCGGCGGAGGAAGACCGCCGCGGACGTCCCTGCCCCTGCTGGCGAGGCGGTGCGACCGCAGCCGCTGGCGCCTCGTCTTGAAGGGCAACGCAAGGGGCCACGACGGCGTCAGGCGGCGCCTGGCGGAGGTCGCAGCAGTGTGCCCAGGGAGTGGTTCGAGGCGGTGGCCGAGCACCTTGACGCGCGCTGCCGCTCGCCGCGCGGCCGATGATCGCGGGCGTCTTCTGCAGCTGGCCGGGGTTTCCAGGAGAGGGCCCTCCCGCGCGCCAGGGCGCGCTCTCGCGACGAGCACCCTCGCGGGCTGGGCGCGACCTCCGGGAAGGCCCGCGCCAGCGGCCATGGGGGCCGCGGCAGCGCCGCGTGGATATTTTCGGCAACGAGCGCTCGGGGGCCAGGCTGGATCTCGCGAAGGCTTTCGACCGCGCAGGCGCCCTGTGGGCGCTGTGGCAGCCTCGGCAATCTCTTCGGCGGGGTCTCCCAGAGCTTCAAGAGGCCGTTGGCGCGGGCTCAGCGAGTGCGCCACGGGCCATGGACCGGCGCGCGTGGAGCAGGCGGTGAAGGAAGACTGCCGCCCAGAGCGGGCCGTGGACGTTCCCGCCCTTGCTGGCGAGGCGATGCGACCGCCGCCGCCGGCACCTCGTCCTGGAGGGCAGCTTGCTGGGCGACGGCGGCGCCCGGCGGCGCCTGGCGGAAGCGGCGACAAGGCGCCCCGTCGAGCGTGCGCGGCGGTGGCCAAGCACCTCGACATGTGCTGCCGCTCGCCGCGCTGAGGTTTCCAGGAGAGGCCCCCCCGCGCGCCGGGGCACGCTCTCGCGACGAACTGCCTCGCTGGCCGGACGGGGCCTCCGAGTGACAGTCAAGCCGTGCACTGCCATTCGGTGCATCGTCGTGCTCGACGAGTGGACCTTGCGGCTCCAAGGTCGAGGCTTGCCCCGCCCCGTCGACGTCGCACGTGACATCGCGCTGCTCGACGCCGCCCTCGTTGCCTACGCTCAGTACCTCTACGATGCTAAGGCGCCATGTTGTTCAGGATCCGAGACCCGTGTTGGCGTCCAGATCCGCCGGCCCCAAACCGGCGGCCAACTGCGCCCGGCTTGGGTCGCGGCGTCTCGCGGGCGCGACTTCGCAATTTGGAGCTGGTCGAGATGCGCGCGCCCGTGCCTGTCGAAGTGCCCCTGGCCCTGGCCCTGGCCGTGGCTGCTCAGGCGCGTGGATGGGGCGGGGCGGCAGCGTGCCTGCTCCTCGCTTTCCACTCGCTGCTGCGTCCCAGCGAGGTCGCGAGCGCCCTCAGGCAGCATCTCGGCGCGCCGGGGGACGTGGGGGGCGATCTCGAAGCATGCGTGCTCGCGCTGCTTTCTGCTAGAACATCAGACCGATGGCCAGTGCTTTCTGGTCGACGATCCTGCGCTGCTGAGCTTGATGGGGCGCGTCTTTGACCCCCTCTCTCCAGCGTCGGCATTGTGCCCAGGACAGCTGCGTGGGCTGACCCGGAGGTTCATTTACTTCGAGAGCCCCTCGGCATGAGCGGCTCGCCGCGCGTCTTTGGGTTACTACGAGGAGACGGGGCCATCCGTCACCACCGCTCGTTCAGAACCTGGGGCTGCTGTAACACCGTGGGCGCAGGGAGAATGCTAAGTCAATGCGTCACTGTCTCCAGATGTGTCCAGCCGCTGTGTCCTTCGCCACTATGACGTCCGACAGCCGACAGCGCGCCCAGCGGCTTGCTCAACTCGCTCCAGATGTACGGGGCGGTGAAGGTTGGACCAGCTTGAAAGCTCTCTGTCTTCGGGGCTCCTGAGGCCGCGTGGTAGAGACAACGCCGCTGTACCCCGACGTCCCTGGCTGCCCGTTGGCCAGCTTTTCCTCGCAAGCACCGCACATGGGGTGCTTTGGAAAACGAGCGTCAGGAACAGGGACATTACATTTCAAATGGGATTCTTTGCTAGACCCCTTCCCCCAGAGAAAATCCTCGCCCCCTCCGTTCGAGCGTCCCGTCTCGAGGTCGTGCGATGACTGTTTGGAGTGCGAGACGGGCGACCTCGACGCTAGCCGTGTTGGCATCGAATCTAGCATTTGCTTACAGCGGCCAGCAGAACTCTTGATTGGGGGGCCCCGCGCGTCCTTGTCTAAGCTTTGTCTTCTCCCTCTCCTGTTCCTGCTCCTTGTCCTTCTCACTCTGTGCTTTCGTCCTCTCAGGCAATGCCAATGAAGGGGGTCACCACTACGGTCGCCAGCTCCTCTTGATAATTGAGTTTCGAGAATCCAGCGTCGAGGATGTTTGGGCGATGTTGGACAGTCTGGGATGTTCTGGGTAGGGGTGGGGGCCCCGGGGGGTCGTCCTGTTCGGCGAGGTGCCGACCCGTCTGGCGGTGACCCACCGTGGCATTGCTCTTCGTGCCATTCCTCCTCGTTGTCCCTGCCCCCCGACTCTGCTCCCAGCGCGCAGGCCTTGGCGCCTGACTGGGCGGAGAAGGACTTCGTTTCCCTCCTGGCAGACGGGAGCGGAGCTCTGCCTGCACTGCCTCCCTTCTTGCCTCATCTTAGCATCCCGACGTTGCGGTGCCATGGTCGCGCGGTGCCGTGTGGCCGTCAGTGGTGGTGCGCACGCCTCCACAATGGGGTGGGAAGATCGTCCCTCATCGCCCATGGTTCGGCGATGCGGCTGGATTTGGGGTCTGCTTTTCTCCACGCCGACGGCGCCGACGCATCGCCGATGCATGTGCGATGCGGCGTGGTCTTCCGTTCCCTTCTACCCGGACTCATTTGGGAGGTCTCCATGGTGGTGTCTTTGTTTCGTGGTGCTTGCAACGTTGAGGGTGCTCCGCTCACCTCACCCTCCTCTTTCCTGCACTCTGGGGCCAGTGGCAATCAGTTCAAGACGGGCACGACCGGAAGGGATGAGTGTGCAGGAAAGTCCTGAGGCACACCTGGGGTGCAGCCGCAGACCTTCGGAGCTTGTTGATGCCTTCCTTCGCAGATTTGTCATTGCAGGTGGGACACACGTGGCGCCAATTCGTTCACGGGTTCTCCGTGTTCCACGCGTGTTTCCAGCTACCAGGCCTTCTGAAAACCAGCGCGTTTGGCGCGCCCTGCTGCCCTTTTTGGGTCGCCTCCTGGCGACGGCAGACCCAGTCGTTCGTTCGTTGTTCGTTCTTTCCCCCTCATTGTGCGAAAGGGGAGGGGTTCTCAAGGAGCCTCCGCTTCTTCTCCCATGGAGGATGATGAAGGAGTTGTTCGGCCAGCCAGCAGGCGGCATGGTGTCCCAGGCCACCTCGCCAGGATTAAGAACGGACCCTCGTCCGAATGGCGGCGGAACTGGCCACGACGGGCGTGTGTGGCTCACCTTGGCTCGCTCTGAGGGGAACTTGCGACAGCATGCCGTGCAACGTGGCGTCCCCTTCACGATCTGCTCACGGCGAGGCCCGTGACCACAGCCGTCGGCCATGGGCAGAATCCAAAGCCGTCCCAGCCTGAAAGAGATGTCAGTTGAGCAAAGCGCGTCTGTTCAGCTTAGCGCCCGAGCGTTGCGCCTGACATCCCATGCTTGAATGCAGCTTGGTATGATAAGCCTTTGCCCAGTCGTGCACATCCGCGCATCCCCCTCCACAGTCTGCGGGCTGCTTTCTTCCCCCCCCCTGACCGTCCAGTCGACGGATGTGGGTTCCTCCCCTTCTTCCCTCCCCCACTCCTCCCAACTCCTCCGCAACCCTCTCCCAATGCCAATGCTGATGCCAATGCTGGTGTGGCCACGCATGTCAATGCCGCGCGGTCCGAAGCTAAACATAACAGAAACGAGCTAAGAACACACATTGTTCATTTCTGCTCATTAGACAATTATTTGACTTTTTGGAGACCAATATCCTTTCATGTCTAATTGTTCTATCCTGGGTCTCTTCCTGGCCACTAGGGGACCAGGAACAATTAGAAACGAACACAATTAGACATGAGCACAATTAGAAATGAACGACGTGTACTTAACATTGCTCCGACGAGTCCGAATCCTCAGCGCTGGTCGGCCCGCTCGCCTCCAGCTCCTCCAAATCCCACGCCTTCGTCCCCCTGCCCGCCGTCGCCCCCTCCCCCCGCCCCAGTCCCCTCCTCCTCTCCCCCCTCCCCCCTTCCCCCTCCCCTCCTCTCCCCCTTCCTTCTTTCCCCCCCTCCTCCTCTCCCCCTTCCCCTCCCCTCCTCTTCTCCCCCCTTCTCCTCTCCCCCTCCTCCCCTCCCCCTTCCCCCTCACCTCCTCTCCCCCCTCCTCCTCTCCCCCTCCTCCTCTCCCCCCTCCTCCTCTCCTCCCTCCTTTCCCCCCCCGCCCTCTTGCCTAGCACCACATGCGGCCGCTCCACGCGGCCAAGCCTGCGCGACTCGCCGCCTCTCGGCGCCTGGCGCGCGTGGTGCAGGGCACCCGCCCTGCTCTCTCTCCTGAGGAGCTGGCTCCTCGGCCCACCCCTCGGTGAGTTCCGTCTTCGGCCGCAGCTATCGATTCGACTGCTGCTGCGCCGCTGGTACTCTGGTTTCCCCCCGCCCCCTTGCGAGAAGATGCGTTCGTATGGAAAAAGAGTCCCCCGTTCCCCTCCTCCCCGTGGCAGCCGCCCCCCCCCGTCCCCTCCCAGAGGTCGTCTGGCGACGGGCATACATGACAATTTCGAATGGTATCAAGGGCCTTAAAAAAAACACCCCTACCCTGGTTTACGAGGCGCTGTGCGCTGAAACTCTTGTGGGCTGACAGGGTAAACCCTGCGTGATGTGCGGCGTCCTGGCGCCCTCCAGGCTTTGGGGGCTCCCAGGAGGTTTACAGACCACGCACTTGCAACCCAGGGTAGGGTCGTTTGTTTGTTCTCTCCATCCCTCGATGGTAAGCAGCCCATCCGGACGACCGGGCCGGACGAGGTGTAGGGTCGAGGTCGGGCTGGGCCGGACGACCGGGCCGGACGACCGGGCCGCACGAGGTATGAGATCGAGGACGGCAGTGCGGATACGGCCGGACCGAGGCATAGGATCGGGGTCGGTTCGGGGAGGGTGCCCTGATGTTCTTCGTGCCTGTTGGATGCTCTTGTGCATCTTGGGGAGGGTGCCCTTGGATGTTCTGTGTGCTTTGGCCGGCGGGGGGTCCCATGCTCTCGGAGGGTGTTCTTCTGTCCTATCGGCCCACCTGTCAGAGTGAGGGGTGCTCCTCAGCGCGCCCGCGCAGCGCGCCCGCAGCCGAGCCGAGACTTCGATCGGACGACACGCACGCTGGGACTGCGCAAGGCCGTTCGGGCCCCCCCAGCTCTGATAGCCCTGGGGACCCGGGGAGCCAGAGGGCTGTGAACGTGTCTTCGCCTTATTGCCTCTTCCCCTCTCTCCTGCCTCCTCCTCCTCCTTCTCCTCCTCCTCCTCCTCCTCCTCCTCCTCTCCCTCTCCTCCTCCTCCTCCTCCTCCTCCTCCTCCTCCTCCTCTCCCTCCTCCTCCTCCTCCCTCCTCCTCCTCCTCCTCCTCCTCCTCCTCCTCCTCCTCCTCCTCCTCCTCCTCCTCCTCCTCCTCCTCCTCCTCCTCTTCCTCCTCCTCCTTCCACACACCGGTGTACCTACATCTGAACGGAGGCGGAGAAAACCGCGCTCGTGCTGTCCCCTCGTGGGTCTCTCGTCACCCTCTGTATCCGATCCTGCTTGAAAAGCTGATCACCGAGCACGGGGCATGCGAAGATAATCCACCGCTCTTGGTTGAAGAGCTCACGTGCCTAATGCACGAAGCAGGACGTCTTGTCCAGCATCGCCTTTCTGAGCTTCCGCCCAGCTCCGCCGAGCAGCATTTGCAGTGGCTGTTCGCGGTGAATCGCGCCATGCGGAGCCACAAGATAAGCACGCTGAAGAAGGCTGTCAAGGCCATCCCCGTGCTGCTCAACTTTATCGACCCTGACTGTGGCACGTGGCGCAGCCAGTCAGCCTTTCAAGAGTATATGGCCAAGATTGCTGCCGCTCGGTACCAAAAAGAGTATGAGGAAATCATTGGGCATACCACGGAATCCCCCCAGTTCTATGAGCACCGAGCTGCGCGTCTGCAGAGATTGGTATCGGCCTGGTCGCCGAAGAATCGCAGAATATTCCTCACGGGCATCACGGATACCGAGGGGAACGCTTTCCCGACTGCTGAGGCTGGGGCCCATGCTTTAGCCGCGCATTGGAGTCAAGTTCACGCCTCTGCTTCATCCCAAGTTGCCGCGAGGGACCAGCTGGAGGAACATATTCAAAAAGTGAGGGAGGCTCAGATTTGGAGGCTCTCTGAAGAACAGGTTTACGGAGTTTTGGATCGGCTTCACGATTCCGCCCCTGGCCCTGACGGGCTATGTTACTCTGCCTGGTCCAAGGGGAACTTATTTGTTAGGTGGGCCGCCTACGCCATGTACCAGCATATCATGGATTTCGGCCAGGTTTCAGACGATTTCAACCTCAGCAACTCGGTCTTCCTCCCCAAAGGTTCCCTGGACCGCGACGGTTTCGAGCTCTGGAGGACCCCTGAAATGACCCGTCCCATCTCCCTCTCCAACTCGATCAACAAAATTGTCGCTGTCGCGATCAACTGCCGCCTGAAGGAGGTTTGCGTGGACACCACTATTGGGATCCAAAGGGGCTTCGTCAAACACCGTCACATGCTTGACAATCTGATTGAGTTCGAGACACACATGGTCGTAGGAGCAGGCCTTTTGTGGCGACAGACTGCAGGCGCTATCCTGCTGGACATTAAGGCCGCTTTCCCAAGTTTATGCCATGATTGGATATTTTTCGTGTTCGAGAAAATGAACTTTCCCGAGTTTGTACTGAATGCAATAAAGACGCTCTACGCCAAGGTTACCACCACCATTCTCCTGGGCGGGGTGTCTCACTGCTCTGTTCGTATCCTCCGCGGGATAAAGCAAGGATGTCCACTCTCGGGAAGTGTGTTCGCCCTGGGGTTCGACCCGATATTACGCTTGCTCTGTCTTCGGCTGCCCCGACCTGTCCATTTGCACGGTGCCTTCGCCGACGATGTCGCCTCCGCCGCCTTTGGTATCTACGCGGCCGTGCCCATTTTCATGAAACTTATGATGCTTGCAGGACACGCCGCGGGCCTCGTTCCGAACCTAAAACAAAACGGTGATATTATTTTACCGCGACTTTGACAGGGAGGAGGAGGAGAGGAAGTTCCAACGCCAGGGGATTAGAGTTCGGAGCTTCGGGATGTCTAAGTGTGCCAAGTATCTCGGAGTGATGTGCGGGATCAGGGCCCAGGAAGAGTCTTGGACCGGCCCACTGGTCAAGTTCCGCGACCGCTGCCGCTTCATTAAGTCTTTGAAGTTAGGCCTGTCGATGTCTCTCGTGGCGTACAACCAGATCGCAGTCACTGTGCTAATGTTCATTGCCCAGTTCTTTCCGCCCGCGGCCGAGTGCAGTTGGCAGGTGCATCTCGGACTGCAGTCGCTTACATGTGCTCCTCGGCATGCCTTGTCTGATCATATGCTGGTGGGAATGAAGTCTCTTGGGGGAAGATATCTCGGGCCAGGTCTCTCGCACACGAAGCTCGTGCCGCTGCATATCGTGCTACCCTCGCCTCTTCCGTCTTTTTCGCTTGCATCGAGAAAATCGAGGACGCGTTCGATGACCCCGAATGCCATCTGGACGCTCATCTTCATCCCGTTTATACCAAGTCTTTCGTTTTAATGATGAACCAGAACTATCGAGTTATCCCGAATCCCGTCAGCCCCCACCGTCTTCGAGCACGGGCTTCAGAAGAAAATGACCAAGCTTGTGCTCGCCCATCAACCCCTGGTCCCATTTCCTGAGCTTATCCTGAGGCGTCTCCAGTATTGGGCTTCGAGGTTTCCTGAAGTTGGGCAAGTCGGGGCTCATGAAGCCCATCTGTGTTTCTCTCGGCTAAAAGCGGTCGGCCAGCACGTTGCTCCCTTTGTTCAACTCAGTCTGCTGCGCAGTATATGCAATGCTTGGAATACCTCTCGGAGATACCGCCAGGCCACGCTAGGATGCAGGTTTGGATGTCAATGTGTGGCTGGTGACCAGATCGTGCATCACCTTGTCTGTCCTGCTCTTCTCGGAGTGATGCGTGCCAATCTGCCGAGGCTCCCGCCTTGGTGGGGGGCGGAGGTGTTTGCTGGGCTCCTTCTTTTTTCTTTGCCTCTCTCGCGCGATGAAATCGTCTCCATCGCCATAGCACGCGACGTTCTGTTAAACACGTTTAACAAGCTCAGGTCCGAGGGGGCCCAAAGCACATCGCGAGCCATTCGGCTGGCTGCAGGCCGGTTCCGCCTCATTTGCCGACGGGATGCCATGGCACGGGCTCTGGCGCGGCGATAGGGCATCTAGCGATGTGGGCGCCTCGGATGACCTGCCAGATGGGATCGGGTCTCCTGCTCCTCCTCCTCCTCCTCCTCCTCCTCCCTCGCTCCTCTTGTCTGTGCCGGGGTGCTGAAGTTTACGTGGTCATTCACGGAGCTTGGGCTCTGATCGCCAGTTGTTTCTCGCGTGCCTTGTTCAAAGTTGGGCCCCGACGTGACCCTGCTACAGCGAGCAAGCCGACGGCGCCTCGGACCTCGCCTGGCCAGGATCGTGGAGGAAGCGCTTCCCGAGCGTGCGCTGGGCTCGCCGTGAGGAAGGCGGGAGCTGCCTCGTCCTGGAGGGTTTCTCCGAAGGGTTTAGGCGACCCGTCCTCCTCCCTCCTTCTTTCTCCTCCTCCTTCCTCCTTCTCTTCCTCCATATCCTCCTCGCCCTCCCCCTCCACCTCCACCTCCTCCTCCTTCCCCTCCTCCTCCTCCTCCTCCTTCTCCTCGTCCTCCTCCTCCTCTTCTCCTCCTCCTCCTCCTCCTCCTCCTATGGTCGCCTACGGCCCCGGGGGAAAGCGTGCACCTAGTCCCTCATGGCTCCCGCGCTGGCGTATGCTGGGGCCCGCGGTGCTATGCAGGTTGTTCGTGTTCTCTCCGGCAGCTTCCTTGCAGGTGAGACAGCACCTGTGGTTGCCAGGACTCTGTCGTGGCCTCTTGCGCTGCCGGTGAAGTCACCCGTCTGTCCGATGCGCTGCAGCGTGACCTTGACCAACAAAAAAGTTCTGCTGAGTTCCGAATGATTGGGAACCCATCGACACTCGGAATCTAGGCACCCAGCCATGGCCTCTGGGTTCCCATCACTCCTGGGCCGCAGCCGAGGCCGATCATCAACAGAGCCCTCCCGCCATGCCCTCCCGCGCCTGGAGACGGGCTCCAGGGCCCTCGACTCCGCTCGGCTCGGAGGCGACGATGGGGACGAATAGCCCAGGGGGGAGCAGCATCCGTGTCCAGGCGTTCCGATGGTCGATGCCTGCGGCCAGGCTCCCCGGCGAATGCGTGTAATGCCCGCCCCTGGGCCACCGTGGCGGCGTTTGTGAAGGAGTGTGCTCAGGACGCTGCAGACCCTGGAGGATTCTTTATCTGATAGGGGATGGCGGTGATATCCCAAGCCTCAATTGGTGTTCCACCGGCTTGCAGACCCTGGATTTCTTGTCCAATGGTTTCTCATCCGATGCGCTCAGCGTGCGTGTCATGCCCGCCCCTGGGCTACAGCCAACCCGCATAGTAAGGATGAACGATTTTCCAAGGTTACCCTTGCATCCTTCCCCTTCGGCCATCTTTGGCCGCTTTCGCTGGCCGCGCCCCGCTCGCAAAGTGTCGACATGGCCTTCCAAAGCCCTTGCATCCTTATCGTGCGTCCTTATTGCACGGGTTGGCTGTACCCCTGGCCTCGATTTGAGGTGGGCCGGCGGGTCGGCGGTCACAACCAGGTAGACGTCCCACTTTGTGCGGGCCCCCGAAGGTTAGCACCACTTCTCCAGGGCCGCTTTTTCGCCCCGAGTCTTTCTGTTGACGGCCCCGAGGCCCGGCGAGGGCCCCCGGTGGCCGAAAACGGCCCAACACCACCTGTCGCTCCATTTCTGTTGGGGTCGCGGGATCTGTCGGGGAAACGTAAGACTCGAGTAAGCCGGAACTCGGATTTGCCGACTTTTTTTGACGAGCGCGTCCTGGATATTGACGGTCCAGTTTTCGTGGGATGTCTGCAGCGGGAGTTAGCGTCAAATTTCAAGTCAGGCCTCGTCATTTTCATGATGGCCTCGTCAGGCCAACCCGAGTCCCCCGTACCCGAGTCATACGTCTCCCCGACTGTGGGCTCTTCGCCCCCTTTCGCCGCCTCCGCTCGGCCCAGGACCTGCCCCTGCCAGGCGGGGGCTCCCTCCGCGCCTACGTCTGGGCGCTGCCCGAGCGGGCCGGCGCCCCGGACGCCGCCGCCGCCCCGGGAGCGAGCTGGGACCCCCCAAACGGTGTGGTGACCACACCGCGTGGTGAGCCGGTGCCAACCACGCGCAGAGGTCGACTGCGCGCAACATCGTGGCCCTTCGCCAGGGTGACATTCGGCGCGGGCTCAGCGGGGTCCCCCCGAGAGCTGAGCGCGATCGGATAATGTCGGAGGTTGACAGACCTCCTACCCTGACCCGTCGATTAGTGAATTGGCCGTTTTCGGTTCGCGAGAGGGC